GAACGATAGCGATCGCCATTCACCGTAACGTTGCGTCCAACAGCATCTTTGAAAAAATACGGTCCAATGATTCCACCAGCGTACAAACCACACCAAACAGTGCATTTTTCGGGATGCATGGGCAGTTCTTGAACGGCTTCTGGTTGCTCTTCACTCCAAATGCGGCAATTTTGCTTATTTACGAAGCCATTCAACCAGAAATGAGCCTCATCGCTGAACAAAATTTGTCGATAAAAAAGCGGATTTTCTGCCAACTTTTCTAGGTAATAAAATTCAATGATTTGCAAGCGTTGCTCGTTAGTAAGTCTATTCATGATGAAATGTCAAAGCATACTGAGCATCTTTCTCTTTGACACCATGTCTGAAATCCCACGTGATCTGTCAAATACTAATGCATGAAAATCCTAACCTCAAAAAAATCACCCGTTATATGAAGATGTACATATGTGCACACAAAATATTTTGTATATTTGTGCATACATATTTACATGCACATAAGTATGCATATATATTATTATGTATATAAGAAAAATAGTATATGTATAAAAGTACATGCTATTAATTCAGATTTTAATAAAGTATTTGCTTAAATTTAGTATTTTGAAGGGTCGTATTTTTTAACAGGTTCGATTTTCCGTTCGTAGTGGGAGACCTTAGTCTGCCGGTCTGCATTTTCGCCGGAGTACTGAGTTTGGATGCCGCGGCTCTGGTCAGGTGATTGTTCACTAGGTGCAATTTCCTCGTACCCATTCGATACAGGTACGTGAGCGTTACTGGATTCACACTCAAACTTTGTTGATTTCCTGAAGGTATATTCGCTTTTGTTGTAAGGAGATATTTGCTGTTTCGGCGATTTTCTGCCCTCGGTTGTTTCCACTATGACTGAGCGTGGACTTTCGGTCAACTCGACGACTTTGGCTGGTTTCCATTCGCGATGACCTATCTGCATTCTGACGTTGTCGCCAGGTTTAAGCGCAGGTCACGATTTCCGTTGCTACGTTCTTGTCTGTTTTTTCTATCAAAGTTTTAGTCAAGATGGTAACTGTTTCTGCCGTTGGTATCGATGGGTAAAGATCCTTAACATCAAATGATACAAATTTCGCATCTTTGGGTATTTCTAGCGATTTCATTCTTTAAATTAACTCCGCTGTATTCGTAATTGTGTATTTATCGGGCAGTTCCAGTTTTTCTTTCAGCAACGATTTTAGATATTTCGATAGTTTGTATCCTGGTGCAGATTTGTGGTTGATAATTGGTCTCATCGGATTTCCTTGCTTGTGTATTTTTGGGAGTGCGATCATTGAAGGGGCCGAAGGATTCATTAATGTCATTGTATATGCTTTCCTTGGATTCATTATTGTTTTTGCCTGTTTTATTGCGTGCTTTACTGCCACTTGGTAGTCATCGCTTGGGTCCTTTCTCATCATCCGACAATTTGTCTCTTTGATTAGTTGCTCTGTCTTTTCTTTATATTCTTTTTCGTACATTATTACCGTTGTGTTCCCCTTGTCTGCTTTTGTTGTGATTACTTTATTCGTTTTGAGTTTTTTCTTTAGCCCTTTGACAGTTTTATTTTCGTCGCTTAGTTTTTTCTTCTCCATGGATTTTTTGCTTTTTCCAATTATACGTCTACATATGTGTATTGCATGATCTTGATCCTCGCTTGGTAATAATGATATGGCCATTTCCGCGTCTACAATAGTGTGCTCTACCTCTTTATTTTTATCATGATTTTCTATGTTGTGTTTCAGACCTTTTTCCAATATTTCTGTCTCTTGTTTGCTAATGGGAACCTTAGTCAAATTTACGAATCTGGAATGGAAAGGCATTTCGCTGTGTTGTATGTTCTTTGTGATGTTTTGCTTTCTGTTGAGGTCATCGGGTTTTTTGTTTAATTTGTTGTATTTTTGTCCCATAGATTTACTGATATTCTCCTTTATTTCATCTAATATCTCCAGGAGCGTGCTGATCGATTTTAGATTAATTCTTGCGAATTTCGGCGTAACACTTAGTGTTAAACATTGTTTATTAAACGAGATGTTTGCGTTGGTGTTGTGTATTTTCAATTGTCTTCTTTGGTATGTTGTCAAAAGCGTAATCTTCCTTGAGTGATAAGCCTGACTGGCATTAATATTCTCATTTTCGTTGCTGGTGTTTCCGACAGGGTAGGAGTGTGATGTAATGTGGAACGATTTTCCGTCATCCCTTGTCAAATTTGGTTTGGAGACAAACCGGTTTCGGCGTTGTGCCATCTTCAGTGTCATTTTTCGTTCTGAATAGTTTCTGTTTGTCTGTCACTACCCTGCAGTGAAAAGCTGTACTAGTATGCACAAATTCCAGTTCATGAACTATTATTTATGGATAAAAGTCATACCAGTTCGTTATGAACTATAATTATACCAGTTCCTCATAGAAAAAAGTAAACTAGTTGGTAGAAATTCTAGTTCGTTGACTAGTATTCGATGGAGAAGTCATACCAGTTTGTCATGGACTATAATTATACCAGTTACCCGCAGTTAAAAACTAAAGTAATGTAGTTTATGCAGCATTATTTAATAGAAATTTCGTACTAGCTCCCAAGGAAGAGATTAGAATTATACCAATTGCGAAATCATCAAAACAAACGCATCCATGGGTAGAAGAATATATCAAGATCAATATATAAGACCATTTCCTTCAAATGCACTTGCATACAGAAATTAAAGCCGTTTCAATAAAACCCGATATTCATGTTTTTGCCTATCCTGTAAATATTGAAATAGGCATTCACGTTATTTATAAGCATAGGTCCTACTTACATTCAACTGACAAATATGTATGTACCTTCAAAAATCAGAAGTTATCGTCGAATTTATCTACTTTTCAACGATTTTGTTTTAAAGACACTTTGTATTTATACACTTAACCTTCTTGTATGACCTTTCCTTTTAATTATTTAAATCGTCATCACATATTTCGTCTTAATTTTGAAATAAACAAAAAAAAATACTGTTAAAAAGTATTTCCCATACTTTTGCTGTATGTATATCGAAACAAATAGCTTTATTTCCATATTTCACGAATCACAGAAAGTTTTAAATCTTAGATTTTTGCATGAAAGTCATAAGTAAGTCTTAATTTACATTTTTATGATTCACATTTACTTCAGATTTCAGAAATGCATCAAGCCAAAGCAGCAGTCTTTTTTATTTCTGGGGGAAACGTTCCATTATGGCCGTTCGTTAAAGGTACGGTGGGCGAAGGGGGAGTGGGCATGCCACCTCCAACCGACCTTTTTGGAGAGGGCATGAACCGCCATTGACAAAAATGCAACCCCCGACCACCTAGGCGCCCTATGGTTCCCTACGGACCCCTTAGAAAAATGGCCAAAAATCGCATTGATTGATGGAAATTTTCCAATATGAGCAACCATGGTTAAATACCGAATAAGAACTTAGGGCCGGTTGTTCAATGTCTGGTTATCACTACCACTACACTATCGACGATTTCGACATCATGCATGTAACATGTGATCGATAAAGCAGTAGTTGTGCTTAACCGGAGCTTCTACCTCCGATTTGTGCTAATCAGACATTGAACAACCGGCCCTTAGTTGCGCAAATAACGTACATACATATATTCATAAATTATACTGATGCTTTGTCTTGATGTATTTCATCGTTATAAACTCGAAATATTTGGATATCTTGGTGATTGAGTTAATTATTATCCACTTTTGTCATATCCTTTACAGCATACTCGCGACTATCTCATGATCCGTACCTAAAATATAAATGTATGATATTAATATTAAAGAATTGAGTCTTATTCGAAAAAAATAATAATAAAATTACTCACATTATTATATTCAATACATTGGCTTCTGGTTAAGTTTCTGCATCAGCCAGTAATAGTCATCACCATTTTGTCCTGCGAATACTCTGCGCTCCATTCCCTATGGCTAAGCAGCTGATTATCTGCAACAAATTAATTGTTCAAATACAATTTGGAAGATACAAAATATATTTACCTTCTTTTCGACATAATAAATTGCTGAAGCAAAAATAAACAAAGCCAATGCTACTTTCAAATATGTATCTGTCACAATTTTCCAGCTGTCACAAGTTTCGAGCAGGGCTGCCGTTTTGATCAGATTCTACCAAAATTGATAGTATCATTTTTCTTTTTGCTTTGGTTGGTTTTTTGGGGCGTATTCATTAAGTTGGGACTTAAAGTTAGTTAAAGCTTGTTGAGATAATTTTTATTGGGTTATCGTGAATAAAGCTACAGCTAACTTTAAGTGCCGGTAATTCTCTAGGGTGGATTAGCAACCCCTAAAAAAGGTGCGGAAAAGTCGGGAGGGGTACCAAACGACGCGTTTCGGCCCCCCTAATAACAATCCGGAGGGGGGGAGATAATATTATTAACCATTTAAAAGTTATGAACAAAAAACTTTTGTTAAATTTCGTTGTTTTCTATGAGCAATTACACCGACAAAGATTCACTAAATCACCTGTTCTCACTTTTTAAACACTATTAAAATATATAATTTAACTTATTTATTAAAGAAACACATAGTTTTATCAACCTAAGATAGATTATTTTGTTATTAAAAAGAAGTTGACAATCTTTGCGAGCTGAAACGCGAGATTCCAAAATAGCTATAGTGCTGCCACTGTATTAGTATTTCGTAATAATTCACTTTTCCTTATGAGATTTGTGCACTGTTCAATGCTTTTCGGTATCTTCTTTCGTTTAATATATATATAAATAATGAAAATTTTTAATAAAAAATCGCGCGATGGTATAGCGAAATTTGCTATTATATTTTGGTTACAATATCTTATTTAGATGAAAGTAAAAAGAAGAAGAAGAAGAAGTGTATAGTGTAAACTGAGTATAATAGCGCAAATGAAATGTGAAATAAAGTGGCAATACCAGCGATTTGAGGTTATAATAATTTTAGCAGGCGCAAAGTTTGTTCACTCTGTTTTATTAACGAAATATATAAAATAAAAGTGAATAAATGATTTGGTTTGCATAAAATAATAACCGGAAACGTTTTAGTAGTGTTTTAAAAGTGGAAACTGGTGATTTAGTGCATTTTTGACGTGGTAATTGCTCATAGAAAACAACGAAATTTAACAAAAGTTGTTTGTTCATAACTTTTAAATGGTTAATAATATTAGCTCCCCCCGTCGTTGGTACCCCTTCCGACTTTTCCGCACCTTTTTTAGGGGTTGTTACCCCACCCTAGAGAATTACCTAAGTGCCAACTTAATTTTGACAATGAATATGCCCAATTTTACTTTTGGTAGCCGATAATGTTTTACGAATGCAAATGAATTGCAATTAAGAATCCAAGGATGATCATTACAATATGAATTAGCCACGAAAACATGTTTTTTATTTGTTTTATTTATTATTACTATTATTTATAAATTTTATTACAAATGCTTAATATTTTCTTAATGCAATATTTAATTTAAACGAACTAAGTACGCGATTTGGTTTTTTCACATATGAATTTATTAATTTACAATATTTTAATGATGAAAAAAAGGTTTGGTATTTTGCACTCTTACCTGGTAGCATTTTTGATACCGACAAATTTTCTGTAGTGGCAGCCCTACCCGATTATCAAAATTGAGGTTATCGATTGACGAGCTCTTTCGATGAAAAGGTAGTAAGTATTTATCGAATTTAATGCAATTCTATTAATAGTTGCGTTCCCCAACTTTTCTGGGTTAACCGGATCGCGAATAGCCCTAATGTAAAATTCCGCCATCCTGGCTTCGAAGACATTTATGTACAAACAGTAAACAAAGCCGAATTGGATGTTAAAAGAAAATGTCAAATAGGCCAATTTTGTTAATATTAAATTTTTCGTTAGGAAACGTGTTTTAATTGTGCTAAATTGTAAAAGTATATGATTTATAATAAGACTTAATACGGTAAATGAGAGAAAATAGTGATTTTTGTGGAAGTATTAGTGATTTTTTTGCGTTTCAAATGTTCAACTATCTGCTTGTTGTGTGAACAGTATCGATAATTATAATCGCCGGTTCGTTTGAAGTGTAGCCGATAAAAGCAGAATCGATTACTATCTTATGCAAATGCATAAGCACATATCTACTTTATCTCTATTCTAAAGAATTCTAATGCGTAATTTGTTTGTTGGAAGTGTGCTAAAAATATTTTGTGGTTTAAAGTGAGTTAAATTTTTTATTAAAATGAGTAGCAAAAGGCATGTGAAAAGACTTATTAAAAATCAAAGAGAGTTGTAAGTAAATAGTTTAATAGATGAAGAATCCCACAGAAATTCTGAAGCTTGTCGGCCAGATCTCTTAGAAGAAAATGACGCAGGCACAAATGTCGACGTAGCCTCTCCTCTGCCGGTTGTAGAAAATGAAAGTACTTGTCCAGAAACTCCATTCGGAAGTGACGATTCACTTGCGCATACAGAAGCAAACTCCTTTAGAGATAAAATTTTAGCTTGGTACATAAAAAATAGGCCGCCGCGAAAATCTTTTGAAGAGTTACTTTCCATTTTGAAAGCACAAAATTTAGATGTACCGAGATGTGCGGAAACGCTTTTTTCTAAAAAAAGACAAAAGGCAATCATTGGCAATGTTGAACCAGGCTTATATTGTCATATTGGCTTAAGTACTCAGCTGGAGAAAGTTTCCTATATAATTGGTGACGTTGATAAGATTTTGATAGACATTAATATTGATGGTTAGCCATTATTTAAAAGCCCTCGGGCTCAATTGTGGCCAATTTTGGTAAGACTAGTGGACTTTAAAGAAGTCTCTGTATTTCCCATCGGCATTTATGTAGGAAATAAAAAACCAAATGATGTATCTGAGTTTTTGAAGCCGTTTGTGATGGAAATGCAAGGCATATTACAAAATAATATTAACGTGAGTGGAAAGTTCGTCGCAGTTGAAATAAGGGCATTAGTTTGTGATGCCCCTGCCAGAGCTTTTGTTTGTGGTACGCCCAGTCATGTATCTTCTCATGGTTGTGGCAAATGTACACAAATCGGAAGAAAGTTGAATAATGTCCTGGTATATAGTTCAGAGCCAGGAGAGTTATTAACTGACGACGATTTTTTAAGGAGGAAATATGCAGGACATCACAATAAGAAATTTAGAAATACCATGACTCCTCTAGAAAACATTGGTGTGAAAATGATAACGCAAATAGCTTTAGACAGCATGCATTTACTAGACCTGGGAGTAATGCGAAAATTTTTGTTGCGATTACTTCAAGATAAAGTGAATGTAAAGGTAGAGAAAATAAAAAAGAAAAATATGTCTGAAATTTTAAAATCTTTATCTCCCTTTATAACTAAAGAATTCGTAAGGAAACCCAGGTCCATGGATGAAATACTAAACTGGAAAGCAACAGAATTTCGCCAAGTGCTACTCTATACGGGTATTCTTATCTTCAAAGACAATGTTCGTGATGACGTGTATTACGAATTTTTGCTTTTGCACTGTGCCTGTAGGCTACTTTTTTGCCCCAAATCTTACATGAACAATCTGTCGGTTGCAAATAACATGCTTTCATTGTTTGTTGTAAACTTTTCGCAGGTTTTTGGAGATTGTAGTGTAACTCACAACGTTCATCAAATAATGCACTTAACGGAAAACATAAAATCATTCGGGCTATTGTCGAGTTATTTGGCTTATGATTTTGAGAACTATTTACAAATATTAAAAAAATATGTTAAAAAACCAACACATATCCTCCAACAAATTGTAAATAGTGTAAATCAAGACAGTTTCATAGTAAAGGAAAAGCCGAAAGGGTTCAAAGTTTTCAAAAGTAAGGGCTTATGCTTCTTTTTTAAAGACAGTATCTTTACGTCAAAAAAACCTGACTGCTTCTGTCTCATAAAACCTTATATACCGATAGAAATTCAAGGGTTTTCAAGTGACAGAAAGTTAGTAATAGGGAAAAAGTTTAAAAATTTGAGAAGTTTTTTTTTTGACTATTGAGACCATGTATTAAAAAGACTACATACTCATTATCCAAAGGAATAACATGGATGGTTTGCCCACCCCTATTAGGACGATTCCTGAGAAGATTTCGCCTCAATGGCCTTTTTTTGAAAAAAAAACGCTTTTTGTTTAGTTGAAGTGCTTTTCTCAGCTGCGTTTCCGGGTCGTCCGGGCTACTCAAGCTTGTTATTGATTCTGAAATAAAATAGGTTACATACACATGTTAATTTAATATTTACACTTGTTATTAAATAAAATGTTTACCTTTAATACTTGATAACAAATTTTTGAACTCTTTGAGACTCTTCTTGCCGTGAGTTCCATCAACGTTATAATTCATTATTATATCGTTAGTAAAAACGTTTTTTAGGTTTTTACTAATAGAGTACTGAAGCATACTTCTGATTGTGGATATCTATCAAAAAATATAATATTTTCATACATACATAAATATTACTATACGTTTGTATTTTTTTGATCGCAGACAACTAATACTCACCATAATAGAGCGAGTTCTGGTATGACTTTATGGTTAATATTTGTTAAATCTTCTGTTGAATTTAATGGGAAAAAGGATTTCATTGAAACCACCAGAGAATCTTGTCGTACTAGTTTTTGTGTAATTACTTTTTGCTCCGCCAGCGCCGACATTACAGCAACGTTCTGCGAAGTCATACAAGCTACATAAAACAAGGTTTAAATTAAAATAAGCACCACAAATAAATGTGAGAAAAATCTTACATTTAAGTTCATGTTTCAAGCTTTCAACCGATTCTGAAAAATAACACATTACGATTTATTTTATTTAGTTATATAGTGAGTTCATATTGATAAATTAGAAAGTGTTTACATAAAAAATAATAATACGTATGACGTACCTTGCAAAGTTGTCAGTTTTTTATGAAAAGACTTGCAATCCTCGCATTCTGGCTTTTTAGCTGGAAATAAAATTAGTGTAAATACACGTATACATATTTATAAAGGTATGTTCTATGAAACCAAGGCAGATTTATATAAGGTGGTGTTGTTCCATCAGATATGAGTAGCGTTTGATTGTCAAAATTTTGAATTTCGCTAGTGAGTGAGTGAAAACGTGAGGGTATTTGAATTTTCTGTCGCCCTTTTTGTTTCGAAAAGGATAGCTGAAATTCGACAATCGCCCGCTAAATGCAAAAACAAAATACAAGTAATATTTGTATTTATAGAATAGATACCACCTTATATGAATTCGCCTTACGTATATGAAACTTACAACATGATGGTGTGTTCTCCATGTTTGCAAATCGTACGCGTTTTATGTCTTTAGGCATTGTTAGGGTATATGTATTTTTACAGCTGGAAGCGTTTATTAAAGTGGTTATATAAAGTGATTAATAACAATGTAGCAATGGTAGCAAAAGTATGTTATTCTCATATGGAAGACCTATCAGTTTACACTCTATATCCTCGATAGAATACATAATTTCAACGTCATTTGGTGAGGTGTCTGCCAAGCATATCCCTATAGTCATGGAATCAATTGGA